CTGAAGCCCCAGACAGCACCATACCACCATGTTCCTGGAACCTTGCCAGCTCAACGACGACCCCCCCCCCCCCCCCCATGCCATCAGCCGAGCCGCCGCGTTTGCCGTCACCGACCTCCCCATCAGGAACAAGAGGGGTGGGAAAAGTCTCTGAGCTGCAGTGCACTACTGCAGCATCACAAAGCACCTTTTCCGCCCGACTATCAGCATCACGTTATGAATCGGAACCGCCTCACTTCCATCTTCCTTCGCACCCAGGCAGACTACGCTGGCAGGTTGCTCGCGATGTTGAGCAAAGAAGTGGTGTGGGAGCTTCAAAGTTGCCGAACCCCCTCCTGCCGCAACACAGACTGCCCGGGAGTCAAGATGTCCCCTCCACGTCCCGTCAAGAGCGGTGAAGTGAAAAACAAATATCAAGGGGGCCTAGACGGTATCCGCACTTTTTGGACACACCTTGTCAGCTTCTTTCCATCTCTTGCTTTCCTCATCTATCACAGACAAGCGCAGCATCCGGGCTGCCCGCAGAAACGACGACGCGTCTTGGCGGCGTCACCAAAGAGGGTTTTCGGTCCAGCGCAGCGGAAACGGAGTGGGTGGGCGAAGGCGCGAGGTGATTCGACAATTGACGGCCGCAATAAACAACGCATCAGGAACCAGAAGGCTGACCAGAGCATCGCCCCCAAAACAGCGGGCGTTTGAACCGAACGAGGGCGGGACGACTGGTTCGAGCCCCCTCGGCCGGGACCCGTGATGACTGGCTGCCGAATTGTCGACAGATCGAAAATGAGACACGAGGCTGCAATGCTCCGAGTGGTGTCGCAGCCAGCATTTTCATCCAATCGCCATATTCGGCGATGAAGGCTCGATTCCATTGGAAGAAATTGGTTCCTGGTGAGATTCAGCGTTTGGCACTAAAATTCAGGACTGGACTCATCACTAAGGTTTCTGTTCGGACCTCTTCGAAACGGAGGACATGATATCACAAGCACGCTGCAACAGGCACAAACGGACACACTCAAAAACAGACACATCGTCGTTGCGAAGGAGGTCCCCAGCAGCCCCGCGCCCAAGGCCCAAGCCAATCCCGTCTTGTGCAGGCGGATGCCAGTCCAATCCACATCGGCGCCCAACCGGCTTTTGGACCTTCGGAGTGCCGGTTGGGCACCGTGGCGCCTCTGCCGCTGGGCTGCAGCCGGACCAACACAGTTGTACAACTCATCAACACCACTACCCCTCTCACCAGGCTCGAGGGCCTTTTTTTTCTTAGGCGTCATCGGCTCCTGAGCCACCGCATCTGCTATTTCTCCCCCTCCCTGCCGTGGGCTTAGACAACTCGCACAGCTCGGTGAAGCCATCCCACCCCACCTGTCCGTCCCGGCGTCCCTTGCCCGACGTCATCACCGGACAGACTTGTAGGTAGGTGTCTGCAGTCTATGATTTCTAGCGATGCACACCTGATGACATGGCAACTATCTGCCCGCGGCCCCTAAGAGCAACCAGCATGCCCTGCCCCCCTTCGCCCCCTCCATCAAGAGAACGTCTCTACGACTGAACAACTTGGACATTGTTCTTCTTCTGCACGGGGCGTGTCAGACTCGGTGACACGGGACATGCAGTGGGCGGGGCTAGGTGTTCTAGTAGGGCTTGCTTACCTTCCACTTCTCCAAGTCGTCCTGCTTGGTCCTGTACTGCTTGACCAGATCGTCGAGCACCTTCTTCAGCCCCTCGGCATTCGTCTGGAGGGCGGGGACGACATCCTTGACGGTGCGCTCCACCAGCACGCCGTTGATCAGGCGGAAGCACTTGCGATCGCCGGAGAGCGGCTCCAAGGTTTCGAGTACGAGCCTATTTGAGACGGAGAGTGATACGTCCGAGATGAGCGGTGAGACCTCACACAAGCAGGAGGAAGCAACGGGGCATGGATGGGGGGGGGGGGGGGGCGGTGTGTGATGATGGATGCATATATTGGAGAGACGCCGAGCGAGGGGAGGATCGGGCGGCTTCTTCAAAAATAAGAAGACCGACCTCCTCCCGCAGATGTGCGGAGGGGGAGGGGAGAGGAGGTGGTGGGCTTACTTGTGCTCTTCGGCCTCCTGCTCGACATCACCAATCTTTTGCGCAATCTGCTGCAGCGTATTTTTGTAAGTGCTGTATTGCACCTGGAGGTCTGCCCGGGGGGTAGAGAAAAAGTCAGAAGGGACAGAGCTTGGCGAGGGGTCGAGGAGGGGTTCGCCGACCTTGCTGCCTCTTTGCGGGCGCTGCTTGAGCCGACATGACGGGCAACGACGGAGTGGAAGAACCCTAGATTCAAGACCGATGTGATGGGTAAGATGTAGGTCAATATATGGTCCCGGCGTGAAAAGGAAGGGGAGTCAAGAGGCAACAGCAATCGGCCACTGATGAATCAAGTCTTCGTTTCAATCAGTACTGGTCGCAGGTGGCCCGAGCTTCTGGGGACGTCTGGGTTAGCGCAGCGGGAAGTCAGCAGCCAACCCTTGAGAGGGGCCCGTGGAATCCGGGGGTCGTGTGTCGTGGAAAAAGCTCTGGACTCAATTCGAAGACGACGACCACGCGGCCGGTGTCGCAGGCGACCTTTACCCTTCCTCTGAGATATCATCCTGCTAGCCTCGACCGTCACGATGCATCCCCACCTCTTTACCAAAGACAATGTCGGTGCGTCCTCCCCATTCCCCCCATCCCCCAATCCCTCCCCGCGCAGAACCCAACCCCCCCAACCCCTCCATCCCCTCCCATGCTGACACGGACGACGACGAACACCAGGCTGCGAACAGGTCATGACGGCCCTCGAGGAGTGCCACGCGCGCGGGTTCATGTGGAAGGCCATGGGCATGTGCAACGGCGCCAAGGAGGACCTGACAAAGTGCCTCAAGGCGGAGCGATGGAAGACGCAGGCGCGGAACCGGGGCCAGAGCAAGAAGAAGGACTCGATACGGGAGAAGTGGAAGGAGATTGATGAGAATTCGTGAGGTGGGGGCTGGGGCAGGCAAGGAAGGGGTGCGCTACGATAGTTCCTGGCGCGGGAATGTTTGGACGGTTCGAGATGGCCGGAAGAGATGGGACTTGGGACAGAGACGGCGATGGCATCTCGGGACGGAGGGGGTTGCCCGTCCTGTACGAGTGGAAATACTACCGTCGGCGTTGACAGAAGAGGTGTACAACGAGGAGGCAGACACGGTCATCAACACATACACACACCATCCCTCTCACATCCATCCATCCCACGAGGCGGTAGCGAAAGAAACGAAAGAACGAACCGCTTGCGACTTATAAAATGTACATCAACACACCACCCCGCCCCCCTCGCTCCTTAGCTTCGCCCACCACCCCTCACAACCCCCTCCGAAACTCATCCCCAAACACAAACATCCCATACGTCGCCAGCGCCGACAGCGCCACGGGGATCGGCTTGCGCCCCTTGAGCGCGCGCGGGATCGACGAGCCGCCGAGCACCACCGACGCCAGCAGCGCGAGCTCGACGCCGAGCGGCTCGGCGTTTTGGATGCGCAGGCCGCCGAGGCCGTCTGCCATCCCGACATTAGTACATGCAAGGTGCGTGAGTGTGGAGGCGGTGGGGGGAGGAGGCAACGTACAGAGCAACCCGACCGACACGCCGGCGATGATGCTCGGCTTGCTGCGCGTCTTGACGAAGCCGACGATGCCGCCGCCGGCGGTCAGCGCGGCGAGGACGTAGGCGGGGAGTTCGAGACCCTGGGGAGGGGGGGTGTCAGCGCGGTGTTGTCGAGGGGAGGGGGGGGTGTCTTACCATTGTTGTTGTTGTTGTTGTTGTTGTTGTTTGGCTGTTGTTGCGACGGGATAAATTGTAAAGAGGGAGGGTTGCGCTCGTAGTGTCGGTGTTGGGTGGGCTGTGGTGGTGATGTCGATGATGTCGATGTTCTGTCCTTTTTGTTCCTGGAGCTCTCGGACCTAGGTGGGGAGGGGGGGTTCTCCAAATGACGAGCCGAGCTGGAGCTTCCCGCCCGTCCAGGTGAGACGCGCGCCCGCATGCGAGGTCCCGATTGGGCTGGGCAGCTGGGGCGGGAAGGGGGTGTTAGGGCTGTGCCTGAGAATGGCGTGATTTTGGTAGGGGGCGTGGGTATTGTACTAACTCTTGCAGCGTTGAGTGCAACGGCGGGTTGGGAGCCCCTGACGTGTGCTGAGGGCTGAGGGACTGAGCGTGGGCAGGATGAGGACAGATGCCGATCTTTTATTTTTCGATGGGAGACAGATGTGTTATTTTAGGCTTTAGGAGGTGAGTTCGTAGGTGTCCTCTTGGTGGTGTCGAGACGAGACATACACGAAGGGCAGGAGTTGTTGATTTAGGCAGCTCAGTGCTTCAACTTATCAAATTGGGACGACATATCGAGCTCTAGTGGCTCACCAACCTCAAGACTCATACTCGCCAACTCTTCCGGATGAACTTCATTACCACAGCCACAACATAACCTCTTGAAAGGCAAACTGCATCTCGGTTCCTGGCTGGACCAGATGGGCACGCTGTTCCAGCAACAGCCTCCCCAGTCCCAGAAACAACTAGACTATGCACATGTACTGCTTAGGGCCCGAGGGACAAAAAAAAGAAGGCAAAGAAAGCCAACATCTAAAAACATGCAACACCTGGGATTCGCTAGTCGTCAGCGACTTCATTACCAGTCTAGCCCTTGCCGGTTTATCGATGGAAACGCGGGACGGGATCCGCAGTTCTCTAATAGATATGGTCGCATGTATCTTCGTTGCCTGGGAACTCTCGTTATGACTAGACTCTTGCATCAATGGAAGCTAACTCCCCAGCATAGAGATCACAACTTAGTTATGTCCCTGACAACCTAGTTTCGACAAAAGGCCCACTACGTGTAGGGCCCCACGGCCACTTGACTGAGCGAGTCGCAAGACTGCCCGATGGGAGCATCGAAGCATGACAAAAAGACGCAACAGGAAAGGGGAACGAGAATGGAGACATGCAAAAGTTTAAAAATGAGACTTGACAACTGTGAGATTCGAACTCACGCCCTTTCGGACCACGGAATCTGTAAAGATCGGGATCAAGGATATCTCCTTAACGTGGCGCCTTAGACCGCTCGGCCAAGTTGCCTGATGCTGGATAAAGATGAATGCGTTTTTCCTGCTGTTGCGGGCTTGCTGTGTGGTGTGGGGTGGGTGTGTGGGATTCATGCATGTGCGAACAAATTGGATGTGGAGCAGGGTATATGCGCATCTCGAGGCGTTGGGGTGATGGTGCTGTGCTGGATAGAAAGATACATCTGCGAATGTTTCTGTTGCGGCAATGTTAGTTGTGCCTCATCCTGGTAATAGGGATGATGAGGTGTTCCACGTCCCTGGTACTAACCCATCGGGTTCGTCACAGTCACACAGACATCCCATGTTTCTTTTTTCGTTCAAGGACCTCCATCTCTCGGTTCCAATACCTCCAAACTGAAGCCTGGGGGCGTCACATCCGGCTCCACGTGGGACAACAACGTGCCTTGGGGTCAACCGCAGAGGGTCAAGAGCACCATTTCTCATGGCTGTCGTCATTATTTGAGCCCTATTCTAAGCGCTGCTGTAGGCATCGCCGAAGAAGGGCGTTGCGTTGGCTAGCGCTGCCCGTCAAGCCGTCCACGTTGTCCGTGCCTCATCCATGCGGGAAAGGCACAGCACCAAGGGGGATCCCATTTTTCGTGATCCAGGGTAAAGCCACATGGCTACGATGATGTCGACTGTCGTCTTTACGGCGCTCGAGATGTGTGTGGTTCCGTCAAAGGTTGCCTTGCGGGCCGCAGGGTGTAGATGTACCGCAATATGGTGCCGGCTTATAGTCACGCGCGGCCCGTTGTGTAGCTATTTTCGATATATCAGTCCGCCATGTCCCTACAGGGCGATGGGATGGAGCTGTGTCGATCTTTGATAGTCCCTTGGAAGTCCCGAGCTCCGAGGACCTCGGAGACTAGTTTTGTTGCTTCTCACCGGCTGGCACGCCCCTCAACAGGTAAGTCGCCGACAAACCGATCCTCAGATACTTTCAAATGGGCTGAGTTGGGTGCGGAGGAAGCCGTACCAAGGCCTCTGCCGCTTTCTCGCTTCTTGTGGCCAAGATCGGACCGAGGTCGGCGACCTTGAACTTGGATGTCCTTCCCGTCCGGAGACTCGGAGGAGACGCCGTCCCTTGCTCCCTAGGTGGTGTTGGTCATTGATCCTGCCGGAATACGCAGTACGCATCACTGGATCGAATGGACCTAAGGGTGTCGCTGTCTGACGCCAGTCTCCAAGTCCTGAGCTGACCGGTGTGTGCCCCTTTATGAACGGTGAAACAAGCTACCAACGGTTTCCGAACCATCAGAGACGCTGAGTGGTCGTTGAGAGGAAACAGATAGGTCTTGGCCGAGCATCTTCGGCCATCCGTGCGAAGCCATTTCAAGCCCGGGACGCCTCACATCGAAAAAGCGCAACGAAAGGCTGACGGTACGGTGGCGGCGTTGACTTTTGACGAAGAGAGACAAGACGCCCTCTGGGGACAAAGGCATTGACAACCAGGACCAATGGAATAGGGGAGAAGGCGTATGTGTCCACGTCAAACTGTTGGGTCCCCTGACCGTTGGGAGGCAGGGAGGGGAGGGTTCCTGGATCCTGCGAGGCACAGAGGCCATGCGTTGGGAAATCGGGCCGGACAGAAGCGACGGGAGTCAATGCGGGTGCATCTCCACGAGGATGGGTAGGAGGGTAGGTTTCATGGTCCCATGCCCGCATGCGGTATCCAGTCGGGAGGGCCGCGGACCAAAAGATGGAATTGAGCGAGAGATCGATCGTTCACGATGGGGCAAGAATGGGAGTTGCTTGGTTTCCTCCACTGTAAGCATCCCTGCCAGGGCAGCGGGCTCAGGGCTGAACAGGGCCTGCTCCCGCGCCAGGAGCTTGGACCATGCAAGGCACGAAACTGAATCCACAATGTCCGACTCAATTTTTCCTCATCAAATCCGTCCCATCATCAATCTTCGGTTTAATGACAGTGACGGGCAACATCCGAGAGGTACCAGGGCACACAGTTACCCGACATCGCTTGTTCAACTTCAACGTGTTCAAGTTCAACGTCCCAGCAACTGACACAATGTCCATCCTGTCAATTCGGCCAGAAGACGGCAGATGGCCACTCGCGGGCGACGATTTTCATCTCCCCTCGACATATTTCCAAATTCCCTGCCCTGCGCCCATTCACTGCCATGAGGAGAAATGGCGGTTGGCAACAAATTGACACACTACCAACACCATCGCCAGATGGTTTCTGATGTGACCTCATCGTCGACAGAAAACGCCTTGCCTTCTCGACGGTCCGCCGCGGTGAGCTGGGAAGCAGGCATTGCATCCCATTGGTGGCCAGCGAGTCTGTGACTCTGTCCGGGGGGGCTGTGGCAGCGCTGGCAGTGTGCCTCACGAGGTTGCGGTGGGGGGGACGGGCTGGGCGGGCGGGCTGGCTCGACTGTCGAGGGCGGCATCCAGAATGCCTTGTGGAACAATCTGCTGGGCGCAACAACATTCACCACCCATTGTGGAAGGGTGCCATGCCTGCCTGGCCCTACGGCGCCCTGGACGAATCGACACGCCCCGATGCCAGTTCGGCGTCGCTGCACAGTCGAGTCTGAATCTGCCCTAGCGATTCCCCTTTGACTTCGCCTCCAGCCCGACGAAGGGGACAAATTCAAGGTTGCCAATCACGGCGGGCCTGACACTTGGTTTCGAGCATGCGAGAGCCGCTCTGGCGTCGACGTCGACGTTGTGCAGCTTGCATGTGGCCGTCCCTTTTTACTGTCGCTCGTGATACAGATCTTGAGGGCTCAAGGCCAGCCAGGGACGGGACATTGTCAGACCACATGGTCGATGCTGATAGCCGGCCACACGCCTGGCCACCCCCCGGCTTAGCATCCCACCATCGGCCCCTTAGCAAATCTACCCCGGGAAGGATGCGATTTACCCCTGCTCGCCCTACCTTCTGCCGCCCCGAGGCGGAACCTCCTGGCTTCCATTCCCCATTCTTGCGGGGGCCAGCGCCCGCAATGTGCAGATGCGCAACGGGAAGGGCATGGAAGAGACAACGGGCAACACGGGCACATATCTGAATTTTGGACCGCCTCGTCCGAGTGAGGTCCCTGATGGTCACCGTCCCCCCTCGGGAGACAGAGAGAGAGAGAGGACATGCCGTTCGACCCGTTCTGGATGTCCTGGTTGAACTGCTTGGACGGCTGCTCCACCCCTTGAGGTCGTTGGCTATAGCACGGGCGTTCGCTGTTAAGCGCTCCGTCCAGGCTGTCCAGGCCACCCTGAGGCTCGGGGCCGCAGCCGTGCCTGCGCCTCAATGACCCCAATTTCTGCTGCCGTCGCCAAACCCCCGAGGTCGTCTCTCAGCGCTCCCCAGATAAAGGCGGTCCTCACCTTTTCATCTTCCCGACAACCGGCCCCCGACCCTGCTGCCCTGGATCGCGCTCCTTCTGCGACCTCGCATCCCTCAAGCCCGGAAACAACCAGACCATCATCACCCGCTACCAACCAACGGCGACGACCCGTAGGTCCTCATCGCTCGCGCGCAAACTCGAACGGCCACAAAGGGAGCCGGGCCACTGACAACCCCGCCACGCAGCCGCACCGTCCCATTTACCTCTCCGGCAGGACATGAGCCTGCCCACTCCCACCCTGCCATAACTTGCCCGGGACTCGGGGAGTGCAGGAGTTGGTCGCGCCCCGTTTCCACACCTCCCCCAAGCCCGACGCCCGACATTATATACACACGAGCAGAGCCAGCTCCGGCCTCTTGCCAGCCATGTCTTCGACTTACACCCTGTACCCTTCTTTCGCGGCCGACTCCACCCCGGCACGACAAGACCGAGTCCACGAACCCCGCAGCCTGCCGTCCGACGACGCTCAGCACCACATCCCGCCGTCCACGCCCATCGCCTCCGATACCCACCTCTCCGCCTTCTCGCCCCCGCTCCGGCTTCGCAGCAGCTCGTCGTCGCCCGCCCTGCACACCCACACCCCTGCCGACTCGAGTACGCTGAGCATACACTACCAGTCCAGCGACTTCAGCGACGTCGAAGACCCCTACTTTGGCGTCGACTTCGACGCTGCCGACGGCAACCTCCCCTCGTTTCTAGAAGACAGCTTCAATCCGCCCCATCATGACGTGAATGTCGAGGCGCCACCGCAGAGCACGGCTGACCTCACCCAACATGCGCCGCAGCAGCGCGCTGGATACTATCCCCTGAGTCCCATCAAGACGCCGTCCCTCCACACACCATCACCCAACGGCGACAGGAAAGACGACTTGGCTAGATTTCCGGGGCAGCCCGAAGGCATATTTGTCGCCCACGCGCTCACTGATCTCCAGCCGTTTCCCAACTTTGAAACTCCCGACGGTAGTGGCAGCGGACAGTCTAGCGAGGACGGCCTCGCGCCCGCCCCGAACAGGATGCCCGCCCAGAGTCCTAGGCTTACCGTCTCCATGTGGGGACGGGACGGCGCTGGGGTTCCCCTGTCACTCGATACCACTCAGCACTACGAGGCGTACGGCAATATCGCTGAGGTGAGCGGCGCCTACGAGGTCGACCCGGTTTCCGCCCCGTCAACCGTTCGCGATGGCACAGGCCGCTGGGTGCCAGACTCGGCCACTGGCCAAGGTGGCCTAGGCCCCCAGAACCGACCTACAACCGAAGGCCTGACCATGAACGAGCTCGACCATCAGAGGAAGTCCGCCGAGCGAAAGCAGCAAGTCGGTTCTTGGGTGGAAAGGGCGAGAAGCGAAGCTGGAGATCCTCGCGATACGCCGCCGGAGCCGGTCGACCTTGACAAGAACCTCCCACAGCTCCCGCACGAGGACATTGACCCACATGCCGAGACCCAGAACAAGATGGTGCCTGGGCAACTCTACATTACCGGCAACGGAGGCGAGCTCACTGAACAGGACGTGGAACTCATCCGGCGAAACCGAAACTGGGAGGCCGCGCCACTCCCCTTTGAGATTACCAGGACCCGTCTCCAGCCAGCAACCTCGCAGGACGCCATTGCCAAATTCGAGAGGATGTACAGAGATACCGACTCGGTTGTCTC